CCTTCTTGTCTATCACTCAAACCATTTGTGAACACATTGATCCTTTCCCTCCCTAACCCTGTCCTCTCTCTCTCTCTCTCTCTCTCTGTATATTCCCAAGGTTTGCAGGGAGGAGAGTGAGAATGGCTCAGACAGCCATTGATTTTTATTTTATTGGTCTACTAGTGAAAAGAAGAGGAGTAGAGAAGGGCCTGAGAGATGCAACTGTGCTGCTAAGTTGGTCGTTATCGGGTAGAGTTTGTGTGTGTGTGTGTGTGTGTCTGTAGGTGTGTTTGTGTGTGTGTGGGTGGGGTGGGCGGGTTGGTTTGGGCCTTTCTGCCGGTGTCTATCTGATTGAGGCTGTTTTTGTTGTGGGGTAGGAGGTGTTCTGTCTTTGTAAGGTGTGTGTGTAGGAGAGAGAGGATATATGCCTGTTTCTGCATGTCCAGCAGATTCTGGAAGCCATCACACTAGTGCGTGTGTGTCTATGTGTGTGTGTGTCTGCACAGCCCATGTGTTTTGATGGCACACACACACACACGTGTGTGTGAAAGGACAGGGGAATCAGGGGCACTGACAGAGCTGGCACAAGGGACCTGGACCCCAACAAACACCTCCACACACACAGTGTCACACACGCACACACAGTCATACACACATGCAGCTGAGGTGTATCCTAGTGCTCATTAGAGCTGGTAATAAGGCTGTGCTGCTGGAAGAGGAGGGAAACAGGGAAAGGAAGAGAGGGAGGGAGGGAGGAAGCGGGTGGGAGGGGAGGAAAAGAGGGAGGGAAAAAAATGGGAGATTTTAAATTTTAATAACACTGGTACGATTTTGTAAATCTTTCCTGACAGAAAAGTCCTCATTATTTTCATCTGTCTCCAAGGAACCTCTCCTCTAGCTCTGCCTCCACGGATAAACGGACTTCTCTCCTTTTCTCTCCCTCTCCCTCTGTTTTCTCTCCCTCTCTATTTCTGTCTCTGCACTCTTTTCTCTCCCCGTGTTTTTCTCTCTAAGCTGCTTTATTGTCCATTTCCGTTCCTCCTGCATGTTTTATTTTTGCTTTGTCCTCCTCTCATGATTTCCTCCCTCTTGCCTTCCCCCTCCCTCTCTTCCTCCCTCTCTCCCTCCCTCCAACATTATGGCGTACAGTATATCTCCGTCGATCCGTAGCCCTGCAAGTAGCTGACTGGCTACTCGCAACGAACACCAGCAACCAATAGAAAGGCTAGTCTAATCGACTGTGATTGGCTGGCGTCTGGAGTTTGAGTTATTGTTGGTCTTTCCTCATTTTTCACGTTGCACAGTTCATGTTTTCACCGTTACTTTAGGTGAGAAACGAGGGTAGAGGCACTCGGTGTGTATAAGAGTGCGTCGGCGTTCGAGGGTCAGCGTGTATGTCTTCGTCCTCATACATGTGCCGTGTCTAACACACACCCACACACCCACACACCTAGACTGACAGACGCACCTCTATGTCAAGTGTCAAAGCTGGAGGATGGATTCGGTTTGATAAGTCCTGTTCTGTCTGGCCATGTGTCAGGACGGGATCAACCGTACGGGAGAGAGAAAACATGTTATTTCCTCTCTTTGTCTCTTTCCTCCAAATTTGGAGGATTTTTTTTTATAAGATATTGCAGGGGACTACATTTTGTTTTTGCTGCTTTAGTTTTGGTCCTAATCGGAGATCTAAGACAGAAAAGTTTTTCCTGTAGGAACTAATTTAGTGATGCAGGATACAGATAAAACAGCAGGGTTATTTTTAGATCATCCATCTCCAATTTTTACAGACTTTACTGTTGTTACTTTCATCAAATCTCTTTTAAGATCATGGTGAGAGGGGTGGGGCTATACGTGTCCGTCGCAGTGACACATATAGGAACAAGCAGCGATTATCGCTGTCATCAGGTGCACAGTAAAGCTGTTTCTGTTACTGTAAATTTGATGCGATCCTCCTGCTGGCAGCCTGTGATGTAACACCTGTGACTGTGCAGCCTCCACACCTCTGTGGAGGATAAAGGTTAATGGGGTTAATTATTAATCATCATTTTCTGCTTCTTAACCCGTGTGACGCGCTGTGCCGTGTGTGTGCCTGCGTGCATGTCCGCCCGTGTTTGACCGAGTTTATGAGTCACAGGTCCTCTGGTCAAAGGTGGTTCACGACCTTCACAGAATCTTCACTTATTGCAAGCATAACAAAAAGGACGTGCTCACTTGTGGTTATTGGCTCACACTCGGGCACTTTGTTTCACACAGTAAATTCAATCCCACAGCTGGTGAAGTGAAAGGCGTTCAGTACTTAAAGTTTGAGCCGTGGCCAGATTGAATTTAAGCTGAATTTATTTAGAAGAATTCACTTGCTTTGGCAGCTGAAGCTTCGAACTGGCCAACGCAAAGGTTGTATCGTGTTTCCAGTTTAAACCACCCTACAGGACATGTGTTACAATGGGAGGAATTTTACAGATTTAAACTTTTTTTTTTCTAAGTTTCCGCTGTCAATTATGATAAAAACAATTCATTGTTAGAAGTTGTTGGGCGTTGCTTTCTAATGAATCCAATTCGTTTTAATGTATTCATTCTCCACTGTTAATTGAACCCCCTCGCCCCCCACTCCCTTTCTTTCTCATCCCCTCCTCCCCCTTTATTCTAAAAGGATAAACTCACTTCCTGTTCCTCTTTCCACCCGCGGGCCTCCTTTCTTTTCCCCAGCTGAAAAATTAACAAACAACACAAAGCAATCTGACTTCTCCAACACACACAGGCGCACACACACACAAACACACGTACTCGCACACACACAAGTGCCTCCTCCGGGTATTTGACTGGGATAAATAATCATTCTAAATAATGAATGTCAATTAATGGGGGAGATGTGGCCTTGCTAAGCAGGCTCTGATGAGTGTTGCAGTGGGATGTCCTCCCCAGCTGGCTTCAGCCAATCAGCTGAGCCTCAAATACCAGGATCATCCCTGTCTACTAGTATTCCCAATATCACAGCAAAGTGTTTTAACAACACTGAACATACTTGTTTTGTTTTCTGAAACTTTACATTATTTTACTTTGAAAAACGTTTTCTGCAGAACTGAAGAAAGAATTTTAATTTAAAAATGCACACAAATAAAGTAGAAGTAGTGTGAAAATCCCAAAAAGGACAAAGAAAGGTGAAAAAGTTTTGAGCTGTAAAAAAAATTACCACAACAATAACAAAAAAACCTGCTTCAATGCAAGAAATATAGAAATCTCAGACCCTAAAAATAACTGCACATGTATGGAATGTGGCGCTAGTGGCCGGGAAAAAAGTACTGCTGAAGTACAACACGATGGCATGTACTTGGATCGTGGCGGTTGGTCAGATAAGACAAAACTAGAACTCTTCAGCCACGGAGATGTTTTCTATTTTTGGAGAAGTGTAAGAAAGAGGCATGGAAGCAAAAGAACACTGACCACACAGCAAAAAACAAAGGTGGGAGTTTGAAGCCGTGGCGATGCCTCGGTGTATCCTGAAGTTGGAAACTTGTAATGATGGACGTACCTGGGAAGAGAGGAGAGGAAGAAAATAAACACTCCAAGGGAGGCAGTAGTGAAACTGGGTCTTGTTCACTGTCTCCAGAAGGCAAAAATATTGGATATACTCTATGTATTCTATATGCCCTTATCCAGAAATCTGCTTATGAAGCTAACAAACATTAGCCTCACTTTGGTGTTGGCAACAGAGAATGTAAAAAAAAAAAAAAGAAAACATCACTGTCTTTGCCTGGAAAACACAAATTGCTTCTTTATTTTGGCATTCATTTATCTAAATATCTCCCATCAACAGACAATATACTAGCATTAGCATGCTAACGTTAGCAGCTTGCGCCGCAGGACTTACCAAATCAATATGGTAATCAATTGAAGTTGTACATTTGAATTGAAATGATGGTGTTTTTCTGTGAAATATAAAAACACACAAACACGTGAGCCTAAAAGCACACAATAGCTGCGTGTTGTGTTTTTTTTTCCCTCCTCCTCTTTTCCGAAGCTCTGGGCTCTAAACTAAGTGGCGAGTCCATGCTGCTCCAGGTGCTTCTGGCCTGGACGAGTTGTGAGCTCTTCTGGCGTGTCGGGCTCAGACTCGGGGCTTTAGAGGGTAGCAGGGTGACTGAGCACCCAGCCACCCCCCCTCTCTGGTGATAAATGGCCACAGCATGGGCTATTCATCTCCTGCTTAGAGAGGTGGACATTGGCCTCCTCCACCGTTTCTCCTCCACATGTCAGCAAATGTGATAATTCTCTCATTTGTCAGGAGCAGCGGAGGGTTCGGCTGTTGGTGTGTGTGTCTGTGTGTGTGTGTTTGAGGATACAAACTCAGGAGAATTGTAGGGTCTGCAGCACCCGCTCCCTCACTTGGTCCCTTCGTCCCTTTGCTTTGTGTGTTTTGTTCAAAGCCCCCTCTTGTCAAGTTTACTTAGGTCACAGTGGGAAAATTTAAATGTGCAAAAGAGTGAGTCGTTTTATGGCGAATTCCATCAGTAATTCAGTGACTTTACAACCTCCAGGAAACTACTGAGCCACTTTTTCCACTTTATGGTGCAAATAAAAATTTAGAGCCTGTCTGCGGTACATACGTGTGTGTGTGTGTGTGTGTGTGTTTGTGCGTATCTGTGTGTTTGTTTCATACTGGTTTCTAAATGTTTTGCACGTCAGTGTGAACTTTTACTGCTACAGTTTCAGGAACATGTGCAAGTGTGAAATAAACTATTGGGTGTGTGTGTGTGGGTTTTTTTTTAGAAATGTGTATGTGTGTGTGTGTGTTGTTTTACCTCCCCCATGCCGATGATTGTGTGCTAGTAAATACCTGGTATTCAGACCTCATGGTTGCCATTAAGCATGATAAACCTCCAGTTGATGGCTGGTCATTTGGTTTGCACATAAACATGTGACTGTTTAACTTTTTCTTTTTTTTTCTTTTTTTTTAACTGCAGACACAATGACATCAGTGAGTAACGCCTGTGTCCACTCTCTGTCTTCTCTCTCCGCAGGGTCATTCAGAATCGGGTCCTGATCTTCATCCTCGGAGCCATCATTCTTCTCACCATCTTACTGGCCATCTATTTCAATATGCGCAGCCACTGATCTCCCCTTTACACACACACACACACACACACACACAAAGCCCCAGCCCCCCCTCGTCCCTCCACGTCTACTTCCCGACAAATACAAATACACACACATGCGTGATTAATAGCGACAAAAGCGTTGTTCTGCTGTAATTAGGACAAATTGTCCCCATGAATCACTGTTTCCAAAGGCTGACAGCGAGCTTTTTTTTTCCATCTCTCTCTCTTTCTCTCTTCCTGTTTGCTTTCTCCTCCTCTGTTATTCTATCACTCCCTCTCACCCCAGCTCTACCTTTTCTCCTCCTCCTTACACTTCCCTTTTCTCCTATTTTTTCCCCTTTCTTTTTAAAGTCAGACGGACTCTTTCTTTAACACCCAGAGAGAGAGAGAGAGAGAGATTTTTTTTTACTAATATTATTCATTGCGTCACCCTCAGCGTGGTTGTGCTGCTCATCCTGTCCTGACGTGAAGGAGGAGAGGAGTTGAAACTCAAAACAAATTCATAGACCGGAACAGATTGTTGTTTATTGTGATTAAGGTTTGAGTTCTTATGTACAGTATAGAACTGTTGTGACACATACATGTTGAATGTATCAGCCTGTGTCACTG